AAAAAAAAAAACACAGTGGCCTGTGCAGATGGTGCAGGACTGGCGATAGTTTGTGCTGTTGTACATAAATTACCATCAGTTAGAGCCGACTGGATGGTAACTAACCACAATCTTCCCAGAAATCGCCAGCGCACACAATCCAGGCTGTGACTTAGCTGTGCCTCACACTGAGGATCGGTCCTTGCTGAGGTGAGGTTTCAGGCAGAAGGAGGCCAAGGACACACAGGAGTTTCAACTTCAATTGAGTAACTGTCCCTCAAGTAAAGTTTGTTGTTGTTGTTAAGTGCTGTTGAGCCAGTTCTGACTCAGCGACATCGTATAGGGTTTCCAAGACTTTAGATCTTCACAGCAGTAGAAAACTTTATCTTTCTCCCATGGCGTGTCTGTTGGGTTTGAACCACAGAGCTTATGGTTCACAGGTGGGCTGGCTTTAGAGACTTAGCTCTTTAGCTCCAGTTCTCACACTTGTCCCACTGAGCTAATTGCATAATGTCTACATAATTAACTTCCTATGTGTATCTTTCTTGTCTCTTCCTCTAGAAAACAGACCTGGTGGAGGAGTAGGTGTACCCCGGGTCATCTGTGTGTTGCCTACTAAATATTTGTGTTTGGCTGATTGATGTCTGAAAAAGACCAGAACTTCATTTTTAAAGGCAACCTGTCAAAATCTTCCCAGCATTTGTTGGTCAGTTTCTCCTACTGCAGTGCCTTGGTGTACACACCTGACTTGAAGCTTGCTGATGAAGATCAAAGACTACAGCCTTCAATATGGATTACACCTCAACATAAAACAAAAATCCTCACAACCTGGCAAATAAGCAATATCACAGCAAATGAGGAAATGACTGATATTGTCAATGATTTCACTTTATTTTTATCTATGCTCATGGAAGCAACAGTAAGGAACTCAAATCATGTATTGCATTGAGAAAATCTTCTGCAAAAGATGTCTTTGAAGTATTAAAAAGTAAAACTATTGTTTTGAAGACTAAGGTGCACCTAACCCAAATCCTAGTATTTTCAATCCCCTTCCTCATAAGAATGCAAAAACTGGACAATAAATATGGAAG